GTACATATACCGAGCAGCCATAAGCCCGAATCGATGCGTCGCAAAACTCATGTAGTTGAATGTTGCGAGCGTTGGGCTGTAAGCAATAACGAGGTACCGTGAGTGATGAGATCGCATTTAAAGATATCAGGCAGATTGTCCAAGCTTGCTGCAGATGTTGGGGAACGGACTCGTCCCAGTCGAGCTTCAATAGCCAAAGCTCTTGCAGTATTATCTTGGCTGTGATAACCAGTGGTGATAACATGCCAAGCGGGTCAAACAGGGATGATGCGGTAGATAATATTGTCCGCTTTGTGACTGAAGTAGGTTCTTGTTTATGATTGAACGCGAAGGATAGGACGTCACTTCGTTGGTGCCATGTTATTCCTAATGCGCTGGTCACGTAATCGTCAGTGATACTGAGCTCCTTTGTGGCTTGACCTTCCATAAAGTCGGGGTGATTTGAATGCCATTTTGATAGTGAAAATTGCCCGCGACGGAGTACTTCGACAACTTGATGCTTGAGGGTATATAGCTCATTCACATCTTCGGCACCGCATAACATATCGTCGACATAGAAAGATGATTTTATTGCTGAAGCGCCGATCGGAAGCTCTGCCATGTGTTGGTCCGCCAGATAGTGGAGGCTGCGTACTGCGAGAAATGGAGCCGAGGCTGTGCCATATGTGACCGTGTTCAGCTGGTACGTGCGGATATCTGAATCTGGGGAAGCTCGCCAAAGTACGTATTGGAATTGTCGAAAGTTATTATCTGCAAGTACTTGCCTGTACATTTTAGCCACGTCTGCGGTGATGGCGTAACGATACAAACGAAAACGCAGTAGTAGCATGTATAAATCTTGTTGGATTGTTGGGCCCACCAGTAATAGGTCGTTTAATGAGGTTTGCGATGAGGTGCGACACGAGGCGTCAAACACAACTCGAAGTTTCGTTGACGTACTGCTAGGTTTTAGCACGCAATGATGTGGTATGTAGTAGTGTGGCTCCTGGTGGTTGGGTTGTGCTACTTCTGACATGTGGCCAAGACCTTCGTACTCTTCCATAAAGGCAATGTACTGCGGACGAATTTCGGGCGAACGTAGAAGGCGTCTCTCAAGCGCGAGGAATCGCCGGCGAGCAACATCGAAGGAGTCTCCGAGACAAATGGGGTCATCTTTAAAAGGCATACTTACTATTATGCGTCCAGTGTTATCTTGACGAACAGTTTTCATGAAAATCTCTTCGCACATGCGATGTTCCGGCTGAAACGATTTGGTTGGCGTACTGATGGCTTCTAGTTTCCATAGGCGTTGCAAGTTCTCGTCGATGGAGCTTTCATTTGACAACAGGCAAGATGATGCCGTCACATTACGCTCATTACGAAGCCTACCAGAGACAACCCAACCGAACAACGTCTTCTGGAGTGTAGGTAGGTTAGAACCCAGTCGAATTTGACCAACAGCAAGGGCGTCAAAAAATGCTTCTGTGCCTAACAACAAGTCGATGCGCCGGGGCTTGAAAAACGTTTCGTCTGCAAGTTTTGTATTAGCTGGCAAGTTCCGATCTCGGTGTCTGGCTGGTATGCTATGTGCGAAGTGATTCCAAACTGTAGCGACAGTTGAAATGCTGAAGTGCGCGATTTGATAGTCGTAGTCGTACGTGACTTTAGATTGGTTAACGATTCACCAATACTGCGGACTCCCACATTGTGTTTCTCACGACGAAGACGAAGTTTTTGCGCGAAGTCATCGGTGATGAAGTTGAGTTGCGAGCATGAATCTAGTAGGGCTCTTCCCAACTTGTATGCACCTGTAACATCCTTGACTAGCACCAAAGCCGTTGCCAGAATAACTTGACCCTCTTCTGATGCTCCCATGTGCGAGTGGGTTGCTGCTGATTGCTGTGAAGACGTTTGCCAAGTCGATCGATTAGATCCAGATGGCTGGGATGCAGATACAGTTGATTGTGTTATCTGAACAGTCTGGGATGCATTCTCATGATGCAGCAGCGTATGGTGTGCTCGATTGCAAGTGCGACAGCGGTTCTTCGAAGGGCATTGAGCCATTTTATGCCCGTTGCCTAGGCAATTTATACACAGGTCATACCTCTTGATGAGGTCAAAGCGTTGATTTGTATTCATATCCTTGAATTGCGAGCAACCGACAACTTTATGGTTGGAGCTGGAACAAAGAACACATGTGGGATTAGTGATAGCAAATGAGGAACTTTGGTTACGAATATTTAAGCGAGTTTGCTTGCCAGCTTCGGGTTTGCGTTGCGACGACGACTCAGATGAGTGCAAAAACTGGCAATGCCTTTCCAAGACTTTAGTGCGTTGCGGCCAAGTCGGAAGCGAGTTATAATCAAGTGACTCGTTCCATTTGTTTTTGGTTTGCTGATCACATTTGCCCATTACAATGTAGATTAACATTGCTTGTGCGATGCTCGTACTTGAGCCCAATGACTCCAAAGAACCATAAATAGCCGATGCCTTGTCTACTAGGCTGCGCAGTTGTTGAGCGTTTGACTTCTCAGGTGCCTGTAACGTGAAGAGTGAGGCGATGCCTTCCAAAAAAAATTAAGGTCGGGTTGTCGAACCGTTCCTTAAGCCTATCCAA